TGTGTGTGTGTGTGTGCGCGCACAAATGAGTATGCATAAGAGCCGACACTACTCCCTTTATCGCATCCAATACCTCATGCAAGTGAGGCAAGTGTTCTACCCAGAGCTACATTCCAGACCTAACTAACATTTTAACTCCTTTCTTCTAATGGATTATTACTAACTTGTTTATTAGGAGCTATGCTTGGTGGTAAAGATACAAGGACTACAACACTATAATCTAGTAGGATTAGAGGCAGTGATTGAGATAAACATTATAATCGATTTAGAACTCTGGAAGGGCACAGGAGAGATCCTTGAAGCCTGGGGGAGTTAAGGAAGACTTACTGGAGGAGGTCATATTCTGAAAGGCACAAAAAAGTTGGCTGGACAAAGTAGGTACTAGAATAAGGAAGTAGTGTTGTCATAGGCAGATGAAGGGAACAACAAAGAATTCATATAATTAAGTACTACACAATATAATGGGAGTAAAAATGGTTTGGGGTGGTAAAGAATTGCTGAGAGGAGGGCGAACATATAAAGGGATGTGCTGAAAAAGTATTTTGGGGTTTATTTTTTGTAAGTCATCACATATGAGTTGCAGTAGAGGGTATATTGTGGGGTTTAAAGCAGGGGAACATTATGTTTGTGGGTAATACAATGTGAAGGATGAATTTGGAGTGTGGAATATTAAAAGGGATATTAGCTAGGAAATGGTACAGTGTTCTAGACAGAAGTGATGGGCTAAGAAGTTGTATTGGAATTAGGGAAAGATTTTTAGTCCTGTGAGAGGCATTTGAGGAACTATTGAATGAAGAACAGTGATGTGAAGAAAGAACATGGGACATGTTAAAAAGTATGTAAGTTCAGTAAGCCATTGGTGTATTTTAGGCACAAAGTAAGGGACCAGACTAGGAATGAAAAGCATTTTTTTTGTTGACAGAGTTGGTTTTTAATTGGATATTAAGAGTAAAAGTGAATTCCAAATGACATATTTTAACCTCTGTGACTGATAGAACTGAGAGATAAGTCAGAAAATGGAACTGTTTGTAGAAGTGAGTGAGTTAGTTTCCATGTGAATATATTGGTTTTAAAGTAAGGGGAGCACTGTAAGAAGCTGGCTGGTTGGCCTGGCTTCCCTCCCCTGCCTATAGGGATGGGTGGGCTGGCAGGCTGCCCTGAAGAGGTGGGGAGGTGAGGTACTTCTGTGAAACTACTCTGTCCCAGACTGCAGACTGCATGTGGAAGAAAACTCTTGCATGCAATCCTTTTGGGTCCTTCTTCAGGTTCCTGTGGAATCAGGCCAGATGCCAGAATTGGGAGAATTGTAGGAAAGCTGACATGGAAGATAAAAACACCTGATTTGTTGAGAGCCACAGTTTAGTCGGAATGACGCCTGGCATTTTTGCCAGAGGGAATGGTTGAAAGGTGACCCTGCTCCGGGATTAGGGCGGATCCTGTTGCCTTGGTCACCCACTACTTTGGAGTTCCCGTGGGGTTCTGAGAGAATTGGCGCACGGAGCCCGGTGGAGGGAGTGTGTTCCCAGAAAGTGTGTGTAGAGTGCCGGTGAGAGTTCGGGAATAAAGAGTTGCTATTTGAACCTATAAGGCTTTGTGGCGGCTCAGTTATTTTGTGCCCAGCCAGACTGTGGCACTGATTAGCTAAGTAAAGTTTTCAATTATGTGCCAAAACACTTTGAGACTTCTGATTTATAGAACTATGCATTTTATAGAGGCATCAGAAAACTAAATGATTGGGTTATTTTCTTTCTCAAAATAAATTGAAGCATGAGGGTGGGGTGCCTCAGATGTACAAGGCCCTGGGTTCAATCCCCATCACCATATTATAAATTTAAAAAATTAATTAAAGCAGATACTTGGGAGAGTCCTTATAGGACAGTTTTTTTTTTTTTTTTTTTTTTTTGAGATAATGCAATACTAGCAATATTTGATCTAACCAGTCATTTGAGCAATTCACATAGTAGACACAGAAAACAATAAAAGAATTGAGTGATAAAACCAGGACACCAAAACAAAACAAAAAATGATGAAACTTGTGAACAAAGAACAAAAACATAAACAATAGCAATGCTCAGAACTCCAGTGCAGAAGAAAGGGGTGATAAGCAGGCTGAAGACATTTTGCCTTTAGTCCTTAAAGAGGTAAACAAAAGTCTGTATTTGAAATTTTGATTCTTATGAGAAAACAAAATACCTCTAGATGGGCATAAGGCTGATGAAATCCCAGAAGGTCTCTTCACTCCTCATAACATTTAGCCACTGCAGGAGTGCCAAATAAATTGTAGCGAAGAGGTCCTGAGAAAGCACTTTGAGACTACTGTGATTAACACATTGTTATGTTCAAAAATAGCAGAAACACATGTTAAAGATCTGTAAGCAGCCTTCGAGAAGAAACCCTCCGGGATTTTTTCCATTATGAGGTGTGGATGTAGGAGGGGAAGAGCACCTTCCTGTGTTGGTAAGGTTTGTAGATAAATCTCATAAAATGAGAGGAATTTGTGGTCTTACTGCCTTAGGAAGTTAATGAAGAAATTTTGGCTGTGAAATTTCACACTATGATAACTGAGAAGTGGGGACTACATATGGAGTATTGTCATGGCCAGGCTTACATTGTTTCTAGCAAATTCTATTCCAAAATGAAAGTTGCTGCTTCAAGACTTTTCGAGAAATATCCCCAAGCTATCTACACACTCTGCTCTTCCTATACCTTAAACATGTGGTTTGTAAAATCTGTGCCCCTGGGGCTATCTATTGCATTAGGAATAATGAAGAAAAGTCTTTTTCCCATCCATAACTCTTTTAGAACTTGACAATGCAATTTCTGTTCTTTTTCAGAATAGTGAGGAAACTGGTAAAGAACTGAAGGAAATTTGCCATTCTCAGTGGACAGGCTGGTGTGATGTTTTTGAAATTTTTATTTATTTTTGGGGGGGCTACTGGAGATTAAACCTAGGGGTGCCTAATATATATATTTAAATATTTATTTTTTAGTTGTAGTTGTATTTTAGAGATAGGGTCTCACTGAGTTGCTTAGGGCCTTACCAAGTTGCTGAGACTGGCTTTGGCATTGTGATTCTCCTTGCTCCAGCCTCCCAAGCCACTGAGATTATAGGTGTGTGCCACTGTGCCTGGCCCTTTTGCAATTTTAGTGGGCCTCGGGTAAGTGGGTTTTGTTTTTTTTTTTTTGGTAGTTGTAAATGGACAGAATGCCTTTATTTGTTTATTTTTATGTAGTGCTGAGGCTTGAACCCAGTACCTCACACTTGCTAGGCAAGCACTCTGCTACTGAGCTACAGCCCCAACCTGCAAATGTTTGTTTTATGTTTAGATGTTGTCTATGTAGTAACACAAATATTAGGTGGAATAACTGTATAGCTGGCTGAGCATCTGTACTCTGTTGTGCAGCAAGAGATTTTTATTTCATTGTTACCATTTGCTGTTTTAAAAAAACATTTTATCTTTTACAAGAGCCTTTGGGGAAAAATCTCCAGGGACAAACCTCTGATATATTCTTTGCTCCCAGCTTGAATACAATGCTACATTGACTCAGGAAGTCATGGAAAATATTGAACTTTATCATGAGTTTTGGTTTGAGGAAGCAACAAATTTGGCAACCAAACAATATTCAAATGAAACTCCCTGGGAAATTTTGTAGGTGTTGGCAGGGTAACTTGGAAACTTAACTAACCTCTGAAAGTTAGAAACTGTAATGTTCCAACAGTGGAGCACATCATTCAGGAACTTAAGGCACTCTTCTGAAAAGATATCTTTTATCTCTGGTACCTTCAGTCATGGGATAGCTTAAATTCAATACATCAGAGGAGCATCATACTTATGTATACAAAAATGACTTGCCTTATCCTGACATGCTCTTCAGCCAAACTTCACTGTTGAAGAATCAAATGGAAACACAGAGGGAAGATATAAAGCTTCCATCTACCATTTATGAGGCCCTCCATCTGCCTGATGTCATGTTTCTTCCTAGTACATATGCCTGCAATGAAGATTGAGAATGAGCACTATGAAAATGTACAAAAGCATCTCAAAACATACTTGAAGAACACTTTGACAGATCAAAGGTCAAGTAACTTGGCTTTGCTTATCATAAATTTTGATGTAAAATATGACCTGGATTCAATGGTAGACCATATCAAACATTTAAGAGCTTCCTATAGATAATTCAGAAACTATTGAAAATATTTAAGAGACTTTTAAAATGGACTTTCTCTTATATTTGGAAGAAAAGCTATATGGTATATGTAGGCCCCTTAATCACTGAATATCTTTGCCTACAAGCTTCCCCTGTTTTAAAAAATAAAAAACAAAACTCCTGATAGTCAAAAGTCAACACTAGGCTTCATTGTAACATTTCATAAGATGCATTTTCTCCTATATCTCCTCAAAATTTATTTCTTCAGTGCTGGGGTTGTGGCTCAGTGGTAGAGTACTTGTCTAGCACGTGTGAGGCACTAGGTTCGATTCTCAGCATTGTATATAAAATAAGATAAAGATCCATCAACAACTAAAAAATGTTTATTAAAAATTTATTCAGAACTGATAATACCTGATAACTAGATCCACGATGATAATAAATGTTATATCTAAAAGACTTAACTAAAACAATTCCAGAGTGCTACTTTTTTAGCAGATGTCATGCAGAAGTGAAGTACAGTACTTCCAATGCTGTCTTCTGGAGAACTTGTCTGAAGAACAGACAAGTCTTCAAAGCATGTGAGGTCAAACAGATGCCATGTATAAGGGGAAATTACCAATGGCTAATGTAGGTTTTGTTGATTGATGGAAGTACCCTTTGAAGTTGCTGTAGTTTGTATCTCTTCTATTCCAAAAAAGTTAAATGTTATGATTTTGATTTCTACCTGGGTTAGGAGTCCTGACAGTGGAGTGAGGATAAACTGAAGTGGTAATAATGCAGGCCAAGTAGAAGCTTGTATATGTTTGCTAGATCCCACTCTGTTTCTAATATGATATTTCCCTCCACAGGTTTAACTTCTTTATTCAGCAAAAATGTGGATTCAGAAAAGCTCCCAGGAAGGTTGAACCTCGAAGATCTGACACAGGATCAAGTGGTGAAGCATACAAGAGAAGTGCTTTGATCCCTCCAGTAGAAGAAACAGTCTTTTATCCTTCTCCCTATCCTATAAGGACTCTCATAAAACCTTTTTTTTTCACTGTTGGGGTAAGAGTTCATATCACTGGAAGTTTCTTACCTAGCTTGTTTCCAGTGTAATGTTCAAGTACTATCAATCTGGTTGGGTTCCTTTAGAGTAAGAACATATTGTGTGTGGGGAGGACGATATCAAAAGGATCTGGGTAGCTGGGCTCATGAATTCTGATTACAGAATGGATTTAATAATTGCTTTTTAAAATTTTTTTTTTTTAGTTATACATGGACACAATACCTTTGTTTTATTTACATATTTTTATATGATGCTGAGGATTGAACAGGGCCTCACATGTGCTAGGCGAGCACTCTGCCACTGAGCCACAACCCCAGCCCCCTAATAATTGCTTTTAGGATCTGCCCCAGTCAGTAAGTTTTAGAGAAGAAATTTATGGGCCTTCCTATTTGGCATACCATTTCAAGAGATACAATGTGAATTTTTGAATTCATTTGGAGATTTGTTGCTGGAAACAGGCCTTAAGGTCTTACGAAGTTAACAAAATGGAAAACAATAAAATATTCTTGTCACCTGATAGTTTTTACTGTGCCAGATGTTCCTTCTATTGGTTTGTAAAAGCAAAGTATTGTCCTTGGAATTATATAGAGACCTATTTCCCTATTAGTTATTTTGTATTACATTTAATTTTATATAGTTTACAGGCTGTGCATTTGGATCAGCTGCTATTTGGCAATATGAATCACTGAAGTCCAGAGTCCAGAGTTATTTCGATGGTATAAAAGCTGATTGGTTGGATAGCATAAGACCACAAAAAGAAGGAGACCTCAGAAAGGAGGTAAATATAAACATTACTTTCTTTGTTATAGTTAACCACAATTTTTGAAGTCTGGTTATTTATGAAGTCTTTTTTAGATAATGGTTATATTCCATCCATAGATGTGAAGACAGTGTACTTCACATTCTTCTTTAAAGTCCTATTACCACAGTAAGTATTATTAATGTGTTGTCTGTCTGGCAGTGTTGTACTTGATAGTGCTCCAAGAATTTTTTTCTTCTACCCACATGCATCAAATTCACCACAGATAGTTGTTAAAAATTAATGTATTGGGGCCTCATCCCAGGCCTACTACAGTATAAGGCCCATTATTTTACTTGTATCACCTTGCTGGATGACTTCAGAGTATGTATCAAAATCAGAGGAGTTATTCAAAATATACATGCCTTAGGGGTAGAGCCACCAACTAACTGGATTTTGAAGAGCTTTCTAAGGTAAAATCCCCACTGTTGAGTGTTTCTGACTCTACTTAGTATGGGATACAACACAGAGGTACAACTATAGAACTTACAGAGATTTCTATTTATTTGGGGAAGGGAGTACCAGGAATTGAACTCAGAGGCACTTGACCACTGAGCCACATCCCCAGCCCTATTTTGTGAGACAGGGTTTCACTGAGTTGCTTAGTGCCTCCTCATTTCTGAGGCTGGTTCTGAACTTGCGATCATCCTGCCTCAGCCTCCCCAGCCGCTGAGATTATAGGTGTGCACCCCGCACCTGGTTTCCATTTATTTTTTAATATGCACATGGTGGCCCCTCTGTCCTCTGAATGATTTGTTTCTCTCTTTTTTTTTTTTTTTTTTGGCAGTACTGATGAGTGAACACAGGGGCCCTTTACCACTGAGCTACATCCCCAGTCTTTTTAAATTTTGTTTTATTTTTTTTAATTTGAGACAATCTGATACTGGTTGATAAGAGCCTGAGAAGAAAAATCTTGGATTTTCTTTTTACTAATGACAGTTTGAGGTTTTCATATTTAGGGAGAAGGAATCATTCCTCTGTTTCCCCATAGGTACAAGAAACGTAATCCCTGTCTATTTCAGAGAGGCTTTATGGTAGAACAATGGTAATATTTGTAGGTGAAAACAATGACTAGCAGATTTTTATTCAGTATATTATTCAAGAGGATTGTAAAACAGACCTATTACATAACCCTGGATCCCTTCAAAAACTAGAGGTTTCTAGCATGTCTCTGTGCTGTGAAGTTTTAATGTCCAAGCGTACCTCAGTTTTTTTTTTTTTTTAATATTAGTTGTTGATGGTCCTTTATTTATATGTGGTGCTGAGAATTGAACCCAGTGCCTCACACGTGCTAGGCAAGTGCTCTACCACTGAGCCACAACCCCAGCCCCCAAATATTTCTTTAAAATGGTGAAAAATAGGGACTGGGGTTGTGGCTGAGTGGTAGAGCACTTACCTAGCATGTGTGAGGCACTGGGTTCGATTCTCAGCACCACATTTTAAAAAAAAACAAAAAACTAAATAATTTTTAAAAGGTATTAAAAAAAAAAAAAGATTCACTATGATGAAAACACTTCATGGGGAAAAAAGGTGAAAAATAGCATAAGCAATATATATATATAATCTTAGTCCAAAATAGATTTTTATAATAGCTAAATGATAGGTTGTGATACATAAAATTCATGCCCATTAAAGAAAACTGTTACAATACATGAATTTAAGATGGAAAATAAAAGTTTTAGACAGCCTGGGCAGCAAAGCAAGATTCTGGGACCCCATTCACACCACTGCCTGTGCAGTGAATAAGGTCTGGGAACTCATGCACAAATTTATTATAATTACAGAAATGGAATCACATACATACTGAACAGTAATTTTTTTTTTATCCTGAGTTTTTTTCCATAACAAAATCTAGTTCAATTTTATAATTAGAATGTGTTTTCTTATTTTAAAACTTTAATCATGGAAAATTATAAACATATACAAAAGTAGAAAAGTATTACGTACCACCATTGTCCAACTTCAGTGGTTACTAACAGTGCCAATTTTGTTATACATCTATTTCCCTTTCATTTCCTCTCCCTCACTGCATTATTATTTTTTCATTTGTTTTGCAGTACTGGAGATTGAACACAGGGGAGTGCTGCTATTGAACTAACTTCTCAGCCCATTTTATTTTTTGTTTTGATACAGGGTCTTGCTAGGTTTCCAAGAGGGCCCTCAAATTTGGAATCCTTCTGCCTTAAGCTCCTGAGTTGCTGGGAACACAGGCATGCACCACTGCCCCTGGCAAGTCTTAGGCATATTTCAACCATAAAAATTTCAGTGTATATCTTTAAAAATTTAGGATTCTCCTTATATCTTTTTCTGAACTTCAATGCCATTATTATATCTTTTAAGAAAAATAGCAATTTTGCTACAAAATATTCTCAGGATTTTATTTTTATCTTATTTATTTATTTATTTATTTGAGACCAGATCTCAATGTATGTTTCAGGCTGGCCCCAAGCTCTTGGTCTCAAGTATTCCTCTTTCCTCAGCGTGGTGCATACACCCTGCCTAAAAAGATTTTTTTTTTTTTTTTCCTGATGGTACTAGGGATGGACCCAGGGGAGTTTACCACTGGTCTATATTCCCAGTTCTTTTTATTTAAAGACAGGATCTTACTAAGTTGCTGAGGGTCTCAGTAAATTGCTGAGACTGACTTTGAACTTGTGATCCTCCTGAGTCTCTGGAATTACAGGCATGTGTCACTAGAATTTTAAAACTGGCCTCAGCTGGAATTTTAAAACTCAATAGGCCCTTGGTGAATAATCACTCAGTGCCTGTCTATATCTGATAGTGTAGCTAGTTGCTTCACATTATTGATATTCCTCCTGGCAATGCTGCTTGATATCTATTATTGTCCCATGTATATATCAGGAAACCAAAGCTATGAAGTAAAATGTCTGCTCAGTGACTGTGTTGAGAATGTAATCTGACTAAAACACATGCTTTTTCCATTCTACTGCATTGTGATTATTTTGCAAATGAGTAATTCCTCTTTTTTTTTTAACTTTGTTTTGTAGTAGTAAATGGACAACATGCCTTAATTAATTTATTTATTTTGTAGTGTATGTCATCATTATATTTTATTTATTTTTATGTGGTGCTGAGTATCGAGCCCAGTGCCTCACACATGATAGGAAAGTGCTCTGCCACTGAGCTATAGCCCCAGCCTCAAGAATCTCTCTTTCATACACAGGCATTTCCTTTCTGGATTTTCATTTTCCTAGCCTAAAAGTGTTTCACGTGCGGTGATATGCAATTTTCCTTTTGTTTTAGATTAACAAGTGGTGGAATAACCTAAGTGATGGCCAACGGACTGTGACAGGTTTGTGTTAGCTTACACGTTTTAGCCATTCAAGGGAAGAGAAATCAAATCAAAAGGTACAGTATGTCACAGGCAATGGCTTTCATACATGCTCACCAGTGGTTTAGAAGACATTCAGAGTCTGTACCTATAGGCTCAAGTAAGAGCACAAAAAAGTAGTTTGGCATAAGGGTTTTCATGACTTTCTGGGTCACTTATTTTTGAATTTTGATCTAATATGATACTGACAAAATGATTAGTTTGTTATAGAATCTTTCCTTGTAGCATAGCTCATGAGTAATTATTACTTCCCCTATTAAATAAGTTAAAGTAGACATTGATAAAAGTACCTTCGATATATTGGGTGCTTTATGCATATTATCTCCTTATCTTGTAGGGTTGCTTACAAGGTAGTTGTCTCCATTTTTATAAAAAGGAAACCAACTTTCAGAGAAGGAACTGTTTGAAAGTCAAACTGTTAATAAATAGTAGGGCTGAGTTTCAGAATGCAGTGTCTCATTCTAAAGCCAAACACGCAATGCATGTCATTATGATTATTTAATTTTTCTTCTTTGTAAATTTTTATGGAAAGATCTAGCTCTTTAACATTTGTACAATATTTTTTAGTCCTATGTGACTAATTTGGGAAAGTGGATTTGTAAGTTATTTCAGAGGAGATAGGAAAAAAATATATTGTAGAGAATAGCAAAATATTGCCTTTAGTCACTTATTAGTACCTACCTAAGTAGAGAAAGTATATTTATCTTCCTTTGTTCAGACTATTTTCTCTATCTGGAAGCCTTAATTTTTGCTTTCTCTTTTCCTGAACTCATTGCAGTTTTTGTCATTTTTAACACTTCCTGCCTTATACATGTAACAACCTTGAGAGAAATGTAAGGATCTTGAGGACAAGTGATTTGATTTTTCCATTTTGTTATAGCACTTAGCACATATATTACACTAGAGGCAATCAATTAAAATCTGTTTGAATGTTGAATGGTATCTTTGTTTTTTATTTTTTAAATTTTAATTTGTTGTATATGACAGCAGAATGCATTACAATTCATATTACACATATAGAGCACAATTTTTTTTTGAGAATTTTTTTAATATTTATTTTTTAGTTTTCGGTGGACACAACATCTTTATTTATTTTTATGTGGTGCTGAGGATTGAACCCAGCGCCCCATGCATGCCAGGCGAGCACGCTACAGCTTGAGCCATATCCCTAGCCCAAGAGCACAATTTTTTATATCTCTAGTTGTACACAAAGTAGAATCATACTATTTGTGTCTTCATACATAGGATAACGATGTCTATCTCATTCCACCGTCTTTCCTACCCCCAAGCCCCCTTCCTTCCCCTCCCTCCACTTTTCCCGTTTGCTCTATCTAGAGTTCATCTAATCCTCCCATGCCTCCCCTATCACATTATGAATCAGTAGCCTTAAATCAAAAAAAAAACATTTGGCATTTGGTTTTTTGGGGATTGGCTTCCTTCACTTAGCATTATATTATCTAACTCCACCCATTTACCTGCAAATGCCATGATTTTATTCTCTTTTAATGCTGAATAATATTCCATTGTGTATATATACCATGTTTTCTTTATCCATTCATCTACTGAAGGGCATCTAGGTTGGTTCCAGTTTAGCTATTGTGAATTGTGCTACTACAAACATTGATGTGGCTATGTCCCTGCAGCATGATGTTTTTAAATCCTTTGGGTATAGACCGAGGAGTGGGATAGCTGGGTCAAATGGTGGTTCCATTCCCAGTTTTCCATGGATTCTCCATGCTGCTTTTCCATATTGGCTGCACCACATTTGCAGTCCCACCAGCAGTGTATGAGTGTGACTTTTCCCCACATCCTCGCCAATACTTGTTCGTATTCTTAATAGCTGCCATTCTGACTGGAGATGAAATCTTTGCATTTCTCTGGTTGCTAGAGATGTTGAACATTTTTTCATATATTTGTTGATTGATTGTATATCACCTTCTGAGAAGTATCTGTTTCGGTCCTTGGCCCATTTATTGATTGGGTTATTTGGGTTTTGGTGTTAAGATTTTTGAGTTCTTTATATATCCTAGAGATTAGTGTTCTATCTGATGTGTGTGTGATAAAAATTTGTTCCCACGTTGTAGGCTCTCTGTTCACCTCTGATTGTTTCTTTTGCTGAGAAGAAGCTCTTTAGTTTGAATCCATTCCATTTATTGATTCTGGATTTTAATTCTTGCACTATATGAGTCTTATTAAGGAAATAGGGGCCTCTGACATGATGGAGAATTTGGGCCTACTTTTTCTTCTAATTGATGCAGTGTCTCTGGTTTAATTTCTAGATCCTTGATGCACTTTGAGTTTTGTGCATGGTGAGAGATAGGGGTTTAATTTCATTTTGTTGCATATGGATTTCCAATTTTCCCAGTACCATTTGTTGAAGAGGCTATCTTTTCTCCAATGTATGTTTTTGGTGCCTTTGTCTAATGTAAGATAATTGTAATTATGTGGGTTAGTCTCTGTGTTCTCTATTCTATACCATTGGTCTACCAGTCTATTTTGGTGCCAATACCGTGCTGTTTTTGTTACTATTGCTCTGTAGTAAGTTTAAGGTCTGGTATAGTGATGCCACCTGCTTCACTTTTCTTGTTAAGGATTGCTTTAACTATTCTGGGTCTCTTATTTTTTCAGATGAATTTCATGACTGCTTTTTCTATATGAGGAATGTCATTGGGATTTTGATTGGAATTACATTAAATCTAGATAGTGCTTTTGGTAGTATGGTCATTTTGGCAATATTAATTCTGCCTATTCAAGAACAAAGGAGATTTTTCCATCTTCTAAGTTCTTCTTTCTTTCTTTAGCATTCTGTAGTTTTTGTTGTGGAGGTTTTTCACCTCTTTTTGTTAAGTTGATTCCCAAGTATTTTATTTTATTTTTTTGAGGCTATTGTAAATGGGGTAGTTTCCTCGTTTCCGTTTCAGAGGATTTGTCACTGATATTCAGAAATGCCTTTGATTTATGGTTCTTGATTTTGTATCCTCCTACTTTGCTGAATTCATTTACTAGTTCTAGAAGTTTTCTGGTGGAATTTTTTGGGTCTTCTAGGTATAGAATCATATTGTCAGCAAATAGTGCTAATTTGAGTTCTTCTTTACCTATCTGTATCCCTTTAATTTCTTTCATCTAATTGCTCTGGCCAGTGTTTCAAGAACTATGTTAAATAGAAGTGGTAAAGAGGGCATCCCTGTCTTGTTCCAGTTTTTAGATGGAATGCCTTTAGTTTTTCTCCATTTAGAGTGATATTGGCCTGGGGCTTAGCATAGATAGCTTTTACAATCTTGAGATATGTTTCTGTTATCCCTAGATTTTCTAGAGTTTTGAACATGAAGGGGTGGTGTATTTTGTCAAATGCTTTTTCTGCATCTATTGAGATGATCATGTGGTTCTTCTCTTTAGGTCTATTGATGTGATGGATTACATTTATTGATTTCTGTATGTTGAACCAACTTTGCATCCCTGGGATGAAGCTCACTTGATCGTGGTGTCTATCTTTTTGATATGTTTTTGTATTTGATTTGCCAGAATTTTATTGAGAATTTTTTCATCTATGTTCATTAGAGATGTTGGTTTGAAGTTTTCTTTCTTTGATGTGTCTTTGCCTGGTTTTGGAATCAGGGTAATATTGGCCTCAATGAGTTTGGAAGTGTACTCTCTTTATCTATTTCTTGAAATAAATTGAAGAGTATTGGTGTTAGTTCTTCATTAAAGGTCTTGTGGAATTCGGCTGTGTATCCTGGGCTTTTCTTGGTTGGTAGGCTTCTGATGGTGTCTTCTCTTTTATCTTGAAATTGATCTGTTTAAATTGTATATATCATCCTGATTCAATTTGGGCAAATCATATGACTCTAGAAATTTGTTGATGCCTTCGATATTTTCTATTTTATTTCAAAATAATTTCTAATTATCTTCTGTATATCTTTAGGGTCTGTTGCTATTTCCTTTTTTATCATGTATGTTAGTAATTTGAGTTTTCTCTCTCCTTCTCTTCATTAACATGGCTAAGGGTATATCATTTTATTTATTTTTTCAAAGAACCAGCTTTTTGTTTTACCAATTTTTTCAGGTGTTTCTTTTGTTTCAATTTCATTGATTTCAGCTCTGATTTTAATTACTTCTTGTATTCTGCTTTTGGTGTTGATTTGTTCTTTTTCTAGGTCTTTGAGATATAATGTTAAGTCATGTATTTGTTGATTTTTTTCTTCTTTGAAGGAATGAACTCCATGCAATGAAGTTTCCTCTTAGTACTGCCTTCATAGTATCCCAGAGATTTCAGTATGTTGTATCTGTGTTGTCATTTACCTCCAAGAATTTTTTGATCTCCTTGATGTCTTTTGCAACCCATTGTTCATTCAGTAACAAATTATTTAGTTTCCAGGTGTTGGAATAGCTTTTATTTTTTATTTTATCATTGATTCCATTATGATCTGATAGAATGCAGGGTAATATCTCTATTTGCTAAGAGTTGCTTTGTGGCATAATATATGGTCTGTTTTAGATGTGCTGCTGAAAAGAAAGTATATTTGCTTGTTGAAAGATAAAATATTCTATATGTCAGTTAAGTCTAAGTTGTTGATTGTACTATTGAGTTCTACAGTTTCTTTATTCAGCTTTTGTTTGGAAGATTTATCCAGTGGTGGGTGAAAGAGGTGTGTTAAAAGTCACCCAGAATTATTGTGTTGTGGTCTATTTGACTCTTGAACCTAAGAGGAGTTTGTTTGAACGTAAATGCTCCATTGTTGGGACATAGATATTTATAATTGTATGTCTTGTTGATGAATGGTTCCCTCAAGTAGTATGAAATATTCTTCTTTATCCCTTTTGATTAGCTTTGGCTTGAAGTCTATTTTATTTGATATGAAAACCCCTGCTTATTTCCGCAGTCCATGAGAGTGGTATGATTTTTCCCAACCTTTCACCTTCAGTCTGTGGATATCTTTTCCTGTGATATCTTGGAGGCAGCA